AAAAAAAACATAATATTAGAACCTTTGAGATGAGAAAGCAGCCCAATCGGCTCCATTGTATCTTTAATGTCATCCTTGTTAATTCCGACCAGTGCTTCAAGATCATCTACAGTGACATCCTCTACCTAAACAATGTGCATGATAATTGGACGGCTTCTACAGATATTAAGTGGCAGTAAAAATAAATTACAAGGATTTACAAACCTTCCGCATGACCGCAGAGTCGAAAAATTCCAGTAAAACATACAGCCAGTATTTCTTATAGGAAATTTCACCAAGGTCAGAGAAGGGCCTTTCTGGGGTACCAGGATATTTGGCTCTTTTTGACATTTCATAACCTAAATCGAAACGGAGAGATATAAAGAATGCAACTTGTATTCAGAAGAAACCCACTAAGTTGTATTAAAAGATTTCCATAGCCCTTTCTTTGATAGCATGGCAATGTCATGATGCATGCCAAATTGTTTGAAGAATGCATTTCTTTCGAGAACATTGCTGCTATGTGTGCTCCATCCTTATCATACTGTCAAAATACAATATCAAAATAAATTTGCCTAGCATAGTGAAGGATGCCATGTACCTCGCACAAAAGATAAAAAATAAAATTTTCCACGTCAAAGCATAATGTTTTGTGATCGATAAAAAGTTTGGCGAGAAGGCATAGGCGTTGGCAGTAGAACTGAAAATCATATCGTTTAAGAAAATGAATGGCACAAAGTATAAAATTAAGGTGTGAATAAGATCAGAATATTTTATGATACGATAAAAACCAACCAACAGTAAGTAATAGATTTTTTTGGCATGAAATACAAACTTAATCAATTTTCAATCGGATCCTAGTCATATTCTCAACACAAATAAAAGACAAACCTTTTGTAGGGCACCAAAAACTTCATAAATTTGAATGTTGCCTTCCTCATAAATCAACACTCCTGGTGGATTTGCTCTCTGGCAGTCTTTTGCCTAATAAATTAAAATTCCATGAAAAACTCCTGATATGGATCCACTGGATGAAACTTACTAAATGACATCTATACATTCGCACATCATCGGTGTAGAGGAGGCAATTTTCGCACACGTATAGCCGTTGTACAGTTTTTTTCTTCAGCCGATAGGGGGAATAATACCAGCATTGAATTTCATAGGCGCCGAAAACAACTCGCTCAATGTTCTTCTCTGGTGGAGGCTAAAAAAATATGAATACGTTGGCCATGTAACAAATTGCATTTGAAGAAAATACCTTTCTGTGTTGATCTCCTCGCATTCCTGGCTCATCGAGTGATATCAAATCGTCGTCATTTTTTCGTCGCTTTCTTGTTACGCGAGTATCGCCAGATGGTTTCGCTGCACCTGTTGTTCCTAGGAAGGAAAGCAATTATTCAAAAGTTGACCAAAATCCTGACTGGGCAATAGATACCTTGTTCACTAGTAGTATGTTTAGGAGCCATTTCTATGAATCTGAAAACAATCTCTAGATAAAAATGTATTTTATTGATTAGATATGGCAAGCACTACGCTCTGACGTAAGTCAATCTATAATACAGTAATAGGTCATAGAGATATAGACAAGAAAGAA